TGTTACTACCTCCTGCCGTGCGGGTGTGTCTGTGGCCTCCAGGGCTACTGTTCCCCGGGATTCCCAGGCTGTCCCTTCAGATGGGAGCAGGGAGCCTGCATGTTTGAGAGGAGTGCTAAGATGAGCCAAGCACCGGACCAATAGTCGTGCTAACAACCACTACAGCAAACATTTGATGTGTGTGCCACGCGTGTCAGGCACTCCTTTTAGCACTTTTTAATGTAACATCCCTATCTCACCCATAACAACCCTAGGTGGTAGATACTGTTTCTAGCCTGGTGTAACAGACGAGGAGACTGAAGCTCACAGAGGTCAAATGACTTGCCCAAGGTCACACAACCTGCAAGTAGCCAAGCTGAGATATGAATCCAAGCATCTGATACCAAAGTCCAACGATGTACCACTCTGCTAAAGCATATGCTAGTTCATTTATCCTTACACTGACCTCACGTACAGATGGGGAAACTAAGGTCTTAAGAAGATAAGTGACTCATTCTAGGTCATGTAGCTAGTGAGTGGCTGAGCCAAGATTTGTTTTCTTGTTTTTTTGGAATCTCAGTCTTTATTGGCTGCAAGGCTTCACACGCTCAGGCCAATGCCAGGGCTCAGATCTTGTTGAAAGCAGCAGTGTCAATGCTCTGCACATGCTCCTCGAACTTGGTGATCTCCTCTTCCAGCAGGTCCGTGCCCACCTTGTCGTCCTCCACCACACACTGGATCTGCAGCTTGTGGGTGCCGTAGCCCACGGGCCCCAGCTTGGAGGCCCCCCACCCCAGGTCAGCCCATCCAGCTGGATGGAGCGCATGCAGGCCTCCAGCTGGGCCATGTCCATCTCGTCATCCCAAGGCTTGATGTCCAGGAGAATGGAGGACTTGGCCACCAGGGCAGGCTTCTTGACCTTCTTCTCAGCGTACTGCTGCAGCCTCTCCTCCCGCAGCCAGGCAGCCTCCTGGTCCTCCTGCTCATCGCTGCCGAGCAGGTCAATGTCATCGTCCTCGTCCTCGTTGTCCTCTGTGACGGTGACCGCCTTCTGGGTGGGGTGCTCCACTTGGTGCACGGGAGACACGTGCTGGGTCTGCGGAGCTGTGGCCGGGTGGGTGGGCGAGCTTTTCTCTAGTGCACTCAGCCAGGCCTCCAGCTTGGAGACAGCCTGCTGCAGATCCTGCACCACCCCTCGCAGGCTCTGGTTCTCCACTTCCAGGCTGGCAATCCGGATGACAAGCTCACTGTGGTCTCCACCGGGGCCCACTGCAGGCCGCAGGGCCTGAGCTTCCAGCCAAGGACTTATGGATGTTTTCTCTGGCTCTTGTGACATCATGGAGGATCACGCTGGCGCCATTCTCCTGGTGTGAGGAGCCAGCCACGGACCCGTTCATCTGCTCATAGAATTTCCTTTCTGCATCATCATATTTGAACTTGTCAAACCAGATCTTCGCGTGCACTAGAAAGTTTGTGGCCATTTTCACACCAGCCAAGGACACAGCGACCAACGAGGAGGGCTCGGCGTACGCAACGGCAGAGGAAAGAGCCTGAGCCAAGATTTGAATCCAAGACATTCTAATTCAGAATCGATGTCCTTTGTACCACCTTCCCTGAGACTGATGGGTGAGCTGACATTCTAGACACCCTTATGAAGGGAGGGATGAAAGAGACCCACTTGCAGACCCAAGGAGACTCAACCTGTGTGCTGGGTGGGGTGGGGGCCCCAGGGAGCCCTGGATGATGATGGATCCAGGGTCTGGAATTTCTTGAGCATGAATGTCAGCATATGTGTCCGTGATACGGATTCAATCTAATGCCACCCTCATTCAGAGATTCAGAAGAACTGACAAAGGAGAGAAACAGAAGCACTTCCTCTCTGAGCTGTTGCTTACCAATGAGCTTTTATCTCCAAGTAGCAGAATAATCATAACCCATAGCTCCCGCGTGTGGCTGATTAGCTTTGCTGCAAATTTCATTTGATTACAACACGAAAGTCTGTCCCTGACTTTGGTTGCAGCTATATGGCTGCTTGCTTACAACTGAAAAAGAGAGGTAGAGGGACCAGTAGGACCCAGGAGCATCAGATAATGAGGTTGGTGCTTTAAGAGCATGTTCATCAACAAAGACCATTTGTGTGGCCCCATCCAGTGTGCAGAGCCACTCTGTATGTCATCTTAATGGGTCATCACAGCAACCTGGGGCTTTCTTCCCATGGGGCAGTGGCCAATAGTGTCAGCCATTCACAGAGGGTGGGGAGGAAGGGGAATAGGATGGAGACAGTGTTTGGTTTATATAAAAACTGTGAATGTGCGGATTGCAGGGTGTGTATTTCATTTTTAAGACAAATTAAAAACCCAATCTTGTCTTGTGCTTGAACCTGAATAGTACTAATCTTATTTATGTTATTTTTGAGTGCTTGCTATGTGCTGGGCACCATGCCATGTGTTTACTCTACAGAGCAACTTTATCCAGTGGGGAAAAATACTAACCTCATTTTACCGGTGAGGAAAGGGAGGCTGGGACAGGTGGAGTGAACTGCCCCGGAGGTACAGCTAGTAAGGGAAGGAGCTAGGATGTGAAGTCAGGGAGTGTGATTCCAGAGCCTGTACCTTTCTTGCTGGGCTGTTCTGCAGGAGAGTATCTCTCAGGGACCCTGACTTCCCACAAAGAGCCCAGTGGGCAGTGGGAATGCAGGGTCCTCTGGCAGGAGGGTCCTCTGACCCTCTAACCTGCACCTTCCTCATCTCTAAAGGAACGTTTCGTGATCCATCTCACAGGTGATTGTGGGGTAACTCCTTGCTAGCTATGAAGCACCGTTTACCTGTTCGTGGATAGGAGGCAGTAGTGAGCAGGGCAGAGGGAAATCCTTCCAAGAAGAGACAGATTTGGACAAGAGGGTGCAGGTGGCCTGAGACCTGTGGCCCAGGTTTGGGACCTTAGCATGTGCTTTTCCCTCTGCTGGGAATGCCCTCCCCTCCCCCCTCTTCTCATGACTGGGTTTTTAAAACTTTCAGCTGTCAGCTTAAATGTCCTCTTTTCAGAGAGATGTTCTCCCTTCCCACCCCTGGTAGACTGGCCTGAGTGCCTACCTCGGCCAGCCCTGGGGGCTTTCCCTGACTCCTCCACTTCATCCCAAACCTCCCTACAATATCCAGCCCTACCTGTGTATGAATTATTCAGGGAGAAGCTGAGGACTCATTATGGGGACAGACATTCCAGCAAAAGCCATCTGGCTGGAGAAGAGAGAGAGTGGGGTGGCATTTATTGTCAGGAAGCAATTTCTCATGGTAATTAAATTCTCACACGTGTGTGTGTGTGTGTTGTGTGTGTGTTGGGGAGATGTGTTTAATCACTGTCCCCCCCCCCCCCAGGGTCTAATCTAGCCTGTGTCATACCAAAGTCCTGGGTCTAAATAGCACCACCCTTCCCCTGACTTGGGGGAGGAGGGGTGGTGTCGGTTCATGTTTTTGATTAAAGAAAAAAAAAAAGAATCAGAGCCTCAGTGAGGTTTCATGAGAAATGGTGGGAGCAGCAGGGTCGAGGGGAGCTGATTATGTAGATGTGTTTAAGCTCTCAACCGGGGATGGATGGATTCCATAATCCCACCGGGGGCTGAGACCCCGGCCGTGTTTGCTGGCTCAGATGCAGCTGGGGCCATTTCTCAAGTTCATGGAGGAAGGGGATGAGCAGGTGCACAGGAGGAGGGGCTGCCTGTCAGGTGAGGGTCCTGCGGGGTGGGGAAGAGTTGTGGAGGAGCCCTTTCTCTTCTGCAGCACGTACTCAGCCTCTGTCTCCGCGGGTGTGTCTGCCTCTGGGCGACACTTTGTTGCACAAATGCTAACCCGGCCTCTGCTACAGACGTGCTGTGTAGCCCTGAGCTGGTCCTCTGGTCTTTCTGCTCTTGCATTTTCAGTCTGTAAAATCGGGTGAAGCTTTGGAGATAGATGGTGGTGATAGTTGTACAGTAATGCAAATGTATGTTATGTATATTTTAACACACACACACAAATTCTAAAAGAAAAATCAGGTGAATCTGTAGTTTCCTTCTGGTCTTAATGTTCTCTGGATTGATGATCCTGGATTCAAAGAAATGCCAAAGGGCTTATCATTATTCCAAGAACAGGCTGTGTGACCTCAGCAAAGTCTGTTTCCCTCTCTGATTCCACTTCCTTTGGTGGTGGCAGAATCGCTTCTCCAGACCTGGCCAGTTGCTTCCCCTCACTCCTTAAGTTTCCTGCCATGTCTCTGAAGTTTGCCCCCTCTCCAGAGCATGGACAGCCCCTGTCTTTGGATCCCCCAGCATCACTCGTCTCAGCCTCTGGTGGCTTTTCGTAGAGGCTGAGGGGGACCTCTGCTTGGCTATTGAATGAGCCATTGAGAATTTCATGGATAATTCAGGAACACAAGTCAAACAGGAGGCTGGAAGCTCTGGATTTATGAAGAAAAATGAGTCAAACTTGGCAATTTATGAGCAGCTCAGAATAGCAGCATGGTGGGGGGTGGGGAAGGCTGGAGGACTGCTCTGAAGGGTTGGGGGCACAGTTGGGGGAGGCAGAGGTGCTAGTGGGGCTGGAGAGAGCATAGGGAGCCTGGGCCTTAGCACCCAGACCACTAGCTTTGTGGGAAGTTGTCTGTGCCCTGGACAAATGGACAAGTGTTGTCCAGTGAGGGGGCAGGGACTCCTCAGGCATCAGAGGGAGGGTCCAGCCCACAAATCCTAATTTGGTCTCCCTGTGGCCTGGCCTTGGCTGGGTACCCAAGAGAAGAGAGGTGAAGGCAGAGAGGGGGCACATTCTCCAGCCTTGGGGGGTACATGGCCAGAATGGAGAGGCTTAGCTGGCCTTCAAGGGGGAGAGAGAGGGAGAGAGAGAGAGAAAGAGAGAGAGAGAGAGAGAGAGACCCTCACTTGTCCAAGAGGCTTCTTTTTGAGGTTTTTCCAGTCTTCCAGGTGGGGCCCACAGTCTGAAGGTGGTGAGATACTTCACATAAATCCAATCCTAGCAGCCCAGAGGGTCATCCCAAAGGCCACCCCAAGGTCAAAGCCCCTGAAATTTTATGGGTCCCAGTAGAGGTGGGGAGGGGTGGGAATCTGACTGGCTTTGCTCCCATGGCTGACAAGTAATGTCTTGTCCCTGTCACCTCCCCAGCATGGTTCCTCCTGGATAGTTCCACCTTCTATCCAGTTTCCTCCACTTGGGATGGACTCCAAGCATTGCATTCACAGGTACAAGGTCTAATAAAAATGGCTTATGTCTGAGGATCAGGGATGGAGAGAGTAGGGATGAGCCCCAAGTAGACACTTCTTGTCTGGGTGTCATGGAAAAAGTTCACATCACCCGTTAGGGCTCAATTGCCTCATCTGAAAAATGGGAATGGCTTTCCCTTCCATCAACCCCTCTCATATACTTACTCATACAGCTCATAAACTGTGATATGACTGAAATAAAATTATGAATGAATATGTGTTTGTAATCCTCTAAGGTGTTGTATTGAGGTGGTAGATTCTTTTATTAATTTTCCATGGGAATCAACCTCAGTCACCTCTCCTTCTTGGGCTTTAGATTCCCCATGTCTGAAATGAAGAGATTAGACCAAGTCAACTCTCAGTCTGTTCCAACTTGAACAACATCTAATCCTATAACTATCTTGGTATCTCAGTTCCTGATCAACACATTCCTAGTTGAGGGTGGGGATTTAGGGTCCAGAGCTTGGAGGAGGCAGGGTTTTGTTCAAACAACCACTTAATAAAATGATTTCTAGGTAGGGGGCCTTACTGCTTTCTCTTAATCTCTTCCAAGGCCCTACTGAAGATATGGCTAGATGTGTGCATTCTTCTGACTTAGATGGGTGGGACTGTCCCTTAGAATGTATCAGAAAAATTTCCCCAGAACTCAGGTTATACATTGCGGAACATTCCCATTTTAAGAACCAAAGGACATGGAATGTCAAGGGGCTTAAGGGCTCCTGAGGTAAGGGTGAAGACGCACTGTTGACTTGGGAATCATTATTTAGGATCAACAAATAGTTATTGAGTTCATACTGTGTACCAAATGCCGTTCCAGGTGCTTTCATATTCATTTTTATATTTGGTTCCATAATAATCATGGGAGGAAGGCAGTGTTATTGTCTTTGGTAGATGAGGAAGCTGAAGCTCAGAGAAGTAGAGGAGCTGTCCAAGGTCACAGAGCTGGGAGTGGTGGAGCTGGGACACAAGTCCAGGTCTATCTGATCTCAGAGTCAGAGCTTCCCCTGGAAAGTGACTTCTTATTCCAGGGTCACTTTTATGTCCATTAAAGCCACAGTGTCATCTCACCATTGGTCTGTACTGATTTCTCTTTGATTATGGTGATATTTTCCTGTTTCTTCATATGTCTAGTACTTTTGGATTATATCCTAGACATTGTGAATGATATATTGGAGAGACTTTGGATTCTACTATATTCCTCTAAAGAGTGCTGATTTTTTGTTTTTAATTTGGCTGAACTCACACTTCAAACTTTTATCTCCTCTCTGGTGGGCAGCAGCTGAAATCTCACTTCAGTTCTGGTAATCTTAGCTGGGCTTTTTGGAGTCTTCCCTGTGCATATATGTTGAAGGATCAGCCAGAGATTTGGGTAGAGTTTATATATAGATGTTAGAGCTTAATCTCTGTGGCTCTCTCCTTTCTGGAATTTCTGCCATCACTTTCAGCTGCTGTGTTCATCCACACTTTCTCTGATTCTTCAAGCCACTAAGGCTGCAGGTTTCCTAAAAATTGAACTATCCTGTAGGACACTGACTGTGGTCTTCCCTCAGGAGGAATCCTTTAAAAACATGAAATACACCCATTATCCTTCTTCCAAGTGTCAATTACTCTCTGATTTCTGCCCGCTTTTTGTTTTACCAGTGTCTTTAGGTAGTTTTAAAATATTTTATCCAGAGTTTATAGGTTTTTTAAAAAAATATTTATTTACTTGGATGCACTGGGTCTTAGTTGCAGCAGGTGGGCTCCTTAGTTGTGGCATGCAAACTCTCAGCTGCAGCACCAGGGAAGTCCTCTGAGTTTATAGTTGTTATGTGTGGGAGGACAGGTCTGACAGGAGCCACTTGACCGTCACTGGAAGTTTTGTTCTCCTTTTGAGCACGAGGTTCCTCTTACGGCTCTTACTAGACAGGGTCTGTTCTTAAAGCTACGCCAGGCCTAGTAGTTTCTAGGAATCTGGTATTTAACTCACAGTAGTAAGTATTTATGTGTTGTCACTGGCTTTTGGAAATGTGCAGCTGTGTTCATGACAGACTTCTGGGTGGCTTTGCATCACGTGCGTGTTCCCTTCAATATCACCTCTCTTGGGAAGGATCACTTCTAGACTGCAAAGGGCATCCAACCTCAGGTCTCCCTTCCAGGTGCCATCATGCAGGGAGGTGGAGGGGCAGGCTTTGTCCTTCTCAGAAGCACCCTTTTGGCAGTCTCCACTGGGAGGACAAGAGGGGTCAGGAGGGAGAAGGAGACAGATTCTCCAACTCACCAATGTCATCCAAGTATGTATCTCTTTAAACTCTGCCTTAGGGAGTTTGTCAGATGGCCACCACCTGTCCAGGCTCCTCCAGACACCTTCTGGAGCTACAGGTGTGTGCCAAGGGCTGGAGAAAATTGGCTCTTTCCCTAAGTTCCTTTTCTCTTTTGTTGGCGATATCAGAAAGGCCAGAGCATCATGGCAAAATCCATGTTTTTTAAAATTATTTATTTATTTATTTATTTTTGGCTGTGTTAGGTCTTCGTTTCTGTGCGTGGGCTTTCTCTAGTTGCGGCGAGCAGGGGCCACTCAATATCGCGGCCTCTCTTGTTGCGGAGCACAGGCTCCAGACGCGCAGGCTCAGTTGCTCTGCGGCATGTGGGATCTTCCCAGACCAGGGCTCGAACCCGTGTCCCCTGCATTGGCAGGCAGATTCTCAACCACTGAGCCACCAGGGAAGCCCCCCATGTGTTTTAAAAAATGTTCCTTCTTTGTAGAGGGGTTGTTTTTCTCTCCCTTTTCATCTTAAAAAAAAATCTTGTGTGTTAGAGAGGTGAAGCCAGAAAGAGAATGTCCCTCTGATGGCTGAGAATTATTATTTTAAAGGCTTTATTTAAGCCGCTCTTAACAAAACTCAAACATCTGGCTTGTGGCGCCTGAGTGCCAACTTTCAGCTTGAACGGAATGCATGAAGATGGCAGGCACCCAGGCTGGAGGGAAGGAGGGCAAAGCCCGCTGTGGTGTTCTTGGCTGTCGTTGTTGTCATGGCCATCATGGCCACTGTCTGTGCTGTGCCTTCTCCGTGGGGCAGGGACAGGGGCAGGGGCAGCAAACCACTTTCTCGAGTATGTCTTTACGCTAGAGACATTCTGCTAAGGGGAATGTATCCATGTCCAGCTTTCAGGGCTTAAAATCTAAAAAAGAATCAGGCCTTAAGCCTAAGAGAAGCAGGGCTGGCGGGAAAGGGAAGGAAGGTTGTATTATATTTATCCAACACATGTTCTGTGCCAGGTATTTCATATCCATTGTCACGTTCAGTTCTTGTAACAACTCCATGAGGTAGGTGTTGATGGCCTTTCATTCCAGGTAAGAAAACTGAGGTCATAACTCGCTGAAGTTTACTCCATTGGCAAGTGGCAGAGTCAGGAGTTAATCTCAAGGCTGGTGCCTCTAGAGTCTAGGTTTCTTCCATCATCTCCAAACTTCATCAGGTGCAGCGTTCACATTTTACAAGCAGGGAGACTGAGGCCAGAGCAGGCAAGGGCCTTGGCCAAGGTTCCTTAGGTAGGAGGCAGAGCTGGCACTTGGCCTCTGTGCTTCAGCTGGGTGGTGGAGGATGAGTGTAGAATGGCGCAGCCTGAGGGCACCAGGGCTGTAGCCCCTCGGAAACTGCACGGCTCCCGGGACCTGGTGGCCCTTACCTGAAGCGTAGGGGTGGGATGATAAAGAATGTTGGAGTGGTTCCTGCTGATGCACCGCTGATCTGTCTGTGAGCATCTGTTCGCCTGCTCTCTGATCACTGTGTGGGCGGAATCTGCCCATTAGTATTTCATTCCCAGGGTCTCAGCACAGCCAGGCAGTTAGGGTGCCCAAGATTGGAATCTCTTGCAGCTGCCTCTAAATGTAGTCAGGAAAGCTTTCTCCTCTATTCTTGAGCCTCAGTGTTTCCAGCTGTAAGATGGAGGCAAGGGACCTGCGTTGGAGGATAGGAGCGATGGAGAAATTCCTAAATGATGTTTTGGAGGCCCTAGAAGTTAAATCAGATGAATATAGGACATCCCTATCATGAGTTGGTCGTTTGATCTTTTTCTCCCCACTCTCCTTGCTCTTCCCTTCCCTCCTTTCTTCCTTTTTCCTTTCATGACAGTTGTTGAGCATCTGAATGGCCAGGAATAGTGGCAGAAGGAAGGACTGGGAGGTGGGACTGGGCAATGGAATTATGTAGGAAAGGGTGAGTATGTTTGGAGAACTTCTTGAGACTCTCAGGAACTGGGGGAGGCATAGGAAAGAAGGAAAAGAAACTTCAGTAAAGGTAAAGGTGGCCATCAGACCAGAGACAAGCCCCAGGAGAGGCCAGAGGAGGTGAATTTAGGGGGATATCAGGTCTTCACGTATTGAGAACCAGGCTAAGCCTGAAGAGACCCCAGCCAGGGTGGGGAATTCTGTGTCCTTTTCTATCAAAACCACACCTCGGAGTTCTTTTGTCCAAGATTACCCCAAGGAACTCAAGGAACCAGGCAGGGGCTGCTGTAGGTCCTGCTGGCTGGGATCCTCTCTGGAAGTTGCAGGGTCTGTGTCCCGAGTCTGGGGGAGGGGACCTGTTCTGTTGACATTTGGCAGGAGGTCTTTTTGTGGTCTAGATCCTAAGACAGTATGTCCTAGTGAGGCTGCCCATGGGATCCTCCAGTGCTTGGTCCATTCTGCCCTTGGCACTCTGTTCCCACCAGTGAATTGGATGGGGGAGCTGTTTCTCTTTGAGGATTGCAGTGTCTCAGAGACAGGGACTCTGTCGTGTTCACCTGGGTATCCCCAGCCCCTAGCCTACCTGTGGCTGATCAAAGTCAAGGCTGAGGCAGTATGGAAGAGCAGAAAGAATAGGGATGTTCAGGTTGATCAAGTCTGAGTTAGCATTCAAGTTCTGCCACCTTTGAGCTGTGTGACCGTCAAAGGTCAGATTCCCCTAGTGACATATTCAGTGACCTAAATTTGTGTGGGGGAGGTTTATAGGGGT